GAGTACATACGTATTGATGGATATCCAAAACCACTAAAATACGACTCCATTCCCTCGAATGTCTCATCGATTTGTCGTCTCGTTGGCAAACGAATCGGTGCATATCTTCCTTCGCTTTTTGTAAAGTCCAATTTGCTCTTTTCGGGCAAGCGAAGAAGGGCAAGGTTATTCTTGAACTTGTTGTTACTATTGTCATATTGTGGATGCAATGTGAAAGCGTCTGGATAAACACTGATCAACGGCTTGTTGATGTCAACCGATCCAATGTCAACACGGATAGCTTTGGCTCCTTTAATACACTGGGCTGGCGTAAGAATCCATTTCTCATTTAAAATTGTACCAGAACAGAATGTTGGATCCATTTCTGAGCCGTCGATTCGGTATTTGATCGCCAACGATGCATGCCATGGAAATGAACCAAGTTCGGCACGATTTCCATTCGCAATTCGGGGCTTCAGCTTGAAGTGAGGAGTGAATGCATTCTTTGGCAGCTGCAATATGGACATTTTTATCAATTAAATTCATTTTAGATTAATCCGATAAATTGAATTTATTTCATTTCAATTCTTCGTTCTTGTTTTTTTAATTGAATTGATATGCAATGCACATCAGTTTGAAGAAGTCACGATGATTTCATTTGATTAAAAAATAAATTCCAAAATATTCTTAAATAAACTTACAGATTCTCCGTTAATTTTAACAAATTGACTGGGTTGATTTAGAACGGCAGCGGTAGTCGCTGTGAAAAGCACACAAAAAGTCCAGAAGCCGAACATTTTCTTTTTTTAGATTTACGATGTTGATATCTCGATATCGATGAATGACTGCTGTATATGGTGAAGGATTCCTCTTTATATTTCTTCGAAGAATCAATTTATCTTGAAACTGATAAAGAGACTCGTCGCTATTTTGTAGGACGATCTTGATAATGGCAATGATAAAAATTGTTCGGCTAATTCAGTGACTTCTTTGAAGGTGCATGATTAATTTCGTACATTCATTCCACATGTTCGACATGCTCTGTGATAAAAAAGACAATACGCTCTTTAGAATGAAATCACGTCATAGTATGACTCAATTGATGGCGTCAAAGAACTAAGTAAATCAAATGATTTTGAGGAAACGGCGCTTCCGCCGATCAGAATGAGTAGATGACTATTTTCGGAAGCATCGTGAATAAATCCCACTGTGATGACTAAGAGTCATTGTCGATGATAAGAAATCAACCGTGTTTGTTTATTATTGCTATAAAAAGATTTATTAATACTTTTAATCAATTTAAACCATTTCCAATAAATCAGGCTAAATATATCAGATCGAAAGAAACGATACTCGTTATTTTCAATTGATATTACTCATCGTTCAGTACAAGTGTGGATGAATTGATTTATAACGAAATACACTATTTAAAGCGGAGACGGTCGAACTTTTTTTAATTGTTTATTGCAAGCATACAACGAATGCTGACCAAACATCATTTTCGCTACTTTCGCTCGCTTTGGCTGGTGCAGTCAATCAACATAAACCGCTACTAAGCAGGACAACCACACTCAACATTCATATTGTTCTGCTCGACCACTGTGCATGTGCACTAACACCAACACGCATATAAAAGGGAATCCAAACGTCAAAACAGAAAATATTATTTCTGCACAATCGTTCCGTGTTCATAGTATTGTCAATAGAAAAGTGTGATTGAATGCACAATAAATATAATACTCTCATAATTTTTGTTAACTATTACATTAAATCATTCCGAAAATAGGAATGTCTTTGTAAAAACGATAAAATATATTGTACCGCAAAGTTCAAATTGAATCAATTGTTATTTCAAATGAAAACACCTTAAATGACTTTGCTTTTTCAACAATTTTACTTCTTTAATGGAAAAATAGAAAAACGTCATAAGTTTTCCGAATATCGTCATAAAAATTACAAAATTCGTCATAATAAATACAAAAGATTAAGAGAGCATTTACATGTATTTAATCAGAAGCATCGCCATGAATGTGTTAGAGGCGCCGATCCGGTCACCACTATTCAGATCGATTGAAATATATTTCAAATAGCCGGTGTCGACTTAGGCGCATATTGTTTATTTGCTGTAATTTTTTGGCATACGCTCACACAGCACCACATCACTGTGTGTTGTCGTTTTTGTTCTCTATTGTTTTCTTTCTTTCTTTTTCTTCTTTTTCCCACGCACCGAAACACAAACTGTTTTGAGTTTTAGTATATCGTTTACTCGCTGAGGATGACAACTGTCGAAATGCATCCGAACCAAAGCAATTTTATTATATTTCAATAAACTACTTAAATATAAATTAAAGAAGTAAAATTGTTGAAAAAGCAAAGTCATTTAAGGTGTTTTCATTTAAAATAACAATTGATTCATTCCGAAAATTCTCACTTATCAACAGAACAAATTGATTAGAGCCGAACGTTGAAATAATTACATAGTTTGGACAAACAATTCGGCGATTGTTTATTGTCTGCAAGCAGTATACTGAATGTAAGAACACACTCATATTTCAAAGCATTGAATTTTGAATTTGAAATGAAAATTGTTTATATTCGATTGAATAAATGGGCTTCATACAAACTAAAAAATGATATATTGCAGCTAAGAATTTATTTTCTCCCTGGAAACCGGTGAATTGAACATAAACAACGCATATAACCTCAACCACAGTCAAAAGAGAGTGAAAATGAATTGAACCCGTGAGCATAAAAACAACGTATTGACTCTTCGCCGATGAAT